CTTTCTGGCTGCTTGTAATATTTTCTCCTTGACCTGGGAACTCTGGAATTTGGCTGCAATGTTCCTAGGAGTTTTCCTTTGGGGATCTCTTTCAGGAGGAGATTGGTGGATTCTTTCCATTTCTATTTTGCCCTCTGGTTCTAAAATATCAGGGCAGTTTTCCTGGATAATTTCTTGAAAGATGATGTCTAGGCTCTTTTTTTGATCATGGCTTTCAGATAGTCTAATAATTTTCAAATTCTCTCTCCTGGATCGATTTTCTAGGTCAGTTGTTTTTCCAATGAGATATTTCACATTATTTTCTAATTTTTCATTCTTTTGGATTTGTTTTACAGTGTCTTGATTTCTCGTAAAGTCACTAGCTTCCAATTGCTCTATTCTAATTTTTAAGGAAGTATTTTCTTCAGTAATCTTTTGGAATTCCTTTTCCATTTGGCCAATTTTGCTTTTTAGGGCATTCTTGTCCTCATTGACTTTTGGATCTCTTTTGCCATTTGGGTTAGGCTATTTTAAGGTGTTATTTTCTTCAGTATTTTTTTGGGTCTCCTTTAGCAAGCTGTTGACTTGTTTTTCATGATTTTCTTGCATCACTCTCAGCTTTTCCTCTACTTCTCTTACTTGCTCCACAAAATCCCTTTTGAGCTCTTCCAAGGCCTGGGACTGATTCATATTTTTCTTGGAGGCTTTGGATGTAGGAGCTTTGGCTTTGTTGTCTTCTTCTGGTTGTATGTTTTGATCTTCTTTGTCACCAAAGTAAGATAATATAGTCTGACTCTTTTTGCGTTGCTTACTCATGATCCCGGCCAATTACTTGAGTTTTAAACTCTTTGTTAAGGTAAGAGTCTGCTTCCAATGTGAAGAGTGTACTGTCCCAAGCTTCAGGGGTTTGTACAGCTGTTTTCAGAGCTACTTCTAGGGACCTGTAAATTTTCAGTTCTTCCAAGGTGCTATGATAAGGGGTGAGGTGTTTCCTCTCCACCTCCACAACAAGCTCCACCACACCAGCGTTCCTTGTCGCCCCAGGACCACCCCTCAGAACTGTGACCCAGATCCAAGCACTGGTAAAGCAAGAGATTCCTGCCTCAGCACTGGCAAAGAGATCCCTGCAATCCCCCCCGATCAGCCACTAGATTCCCCCTTAGTCTGTGGGCCGGAAGCTCAGGAAAAGCCGCGGCCTGGGCTGCGCTCGAGACTTGGGGCTGAGACCTAGCTCCTCTCTCACCACAGCCACAGACTTTTCCCACTGACCTTCTAAGTTGTCTTTGGCATTCAGGGGTTGAGAAGTCTGGAAACTGCCACAGGTGTCCACGATTCAGCCCTCTGAGACCTGCTCCAGGGTTGCTGCAACCTGCACGCCCACGCCGCACTGCGTTCCTCTCCCAGCCCTGCGCGATATACCTTTCCGATCAACCATCCAGGCAATTTGTTTCACTCAGTCTTTTTGTGGGTTCTGCTGCTTAAGAATTTGTTTAGAACCATTTTTTTAGGTATTTGGAGGGCTTTGGGAGAGAGCTCAAGACAGTCACTGCTTTCCCTCCACCATCTTGGCTCCGCCCCCCTGTCCTTCATTTTCAAGGAGGACCATGGACTTCAGGATGTGATGGGTGATGTCTTGACTTGTGCATGAGTTTGGATTGAAGTGAGGCAGAGCTGCTCAAAGTCATCAGTCTCACTGTCTCTTCCAAAGTCATGGAAGGCCAGTGGCAGAACAAAAGTCAAGATGACTAGTCATGGTCTGGGATGCAGCTCTCTATATTACACCCACCACAAAGGCACAGCCACTGTTGGCTGCCATGATTCCACACAAGTGAAAGCAAAACTATCCCCCATGCATAGTTAGAAGAACCGTTAGGTGAATCCCACAGGCATTTGGCAAAAGGGAGTTAATGGAGGAGTGCCCCACCTCGGTCAGGTGACTGGCTTTGCTAGCAGCTCTGCTAAAAGAGACTCCAACTTTAAAGCTGAAGAGGGCCTTGGAGTCAGTTAAATCAAGACCCTGAGTTCAAATCTGGCCTTAGACACTTACTGGCTGTGTGACCTTTGGCAAGTCACTTAACCCTGTTTGCCTCGGTTTCTTCATCTATAAAATGAGCTGGAGAAGGAAATGACAAACCACTCCAGGATCTTTGCCAAGAAAACCCCAAATGGGTCATGAAGAATCAGATGCAACTGAAACAACTGAACATTAACAACAACACTCCATCCTGGTCAAAGATTTGAATGGAGAGGGGAAGGGGGTGAAAATAGAGATGTCATGGAATGGAGATGGGAATTTGATGAGAAGGAAGAGGGATACAGACAGGAATGGCAATAATGATGGGAATTGGATAGGAAGATATGTGTTTGAAAATGGGGTCGGGATAGTGACAGTGACGGGATGGGTTAGGATGGAGATAAGAATATAGATGGAGACAGGATGGAATGGGATAGAGATGCTGCTGTGGATGAGAACAAGATGGGGAAAGGAGGCTGCTCAGTATGGGAGTGATTCCATACGGGGATGGGTCGTCCATCGTAATGGGCCAGGATAGAGATGGTGTGGAGATGGCTGGTGGTGGAGCAAGAGGTGGAAATTGGTCCTAAAGAGAAGGAATTCAAGGACACCTTGGTGTTTGGACTAGGTGATCTCAAGGGTACTTTTAGCTTTCTCTTTCTTCAAATCTGTGGTTTAAAGGGATTTCAAGAGAGGTTACCTATTGTAGCAGAAATAGCAATGAATTTGGGGCTAGAGGACTTGAATTCAATCCCCCATTCTGTTACTTACTGCCAAAGTCACCCTGGTCAAATCTATTCTCTTTGGACTGCCTCTTCCACAAAAGAAGGAGGTTGGTAGATGATTTCAAATGTCTCTGGTATTTCTAAATTCTATGATGTAGGAAGTACCTTGTTCAATAAAGGGGCAGGGAATAAATAGAAGAAAGAAAAAATAAATAAATATCCTCTCAACCTCAGAAAACCTTCACATACGTAAATTCAAACATCCGAAGGAAAGATAATAAGAGAAGCTTGCCACCATCTTAAAAGGATGAGAAGAGTAATTTCTTGCTGAAACTGAGCCTTCTTGGAGATAGAATTACACAAATCATGGAAAATCTGTAAAGTCTTTGCCTCCTGAAAATCCCAGCTGCCCACACCTGAGGTAAGGGAAAGAATCCTTGAGGGAAGACGTCTCCCTAAAAATCATCAAGCATGTGAAGACTAAATGCAGTAGTGCAGGCTCCCACGGGGACCTAGAGTGGGAGAAGGTAAGGGAAGTGGGGGCTCCCACCTCTGACAGCTTTAATGCTTATCTGCTCCTAGCAGTCCTTCATGTCTCTGTCCCTGGAGAGGATGCTATACAGGTGTGAGACATGCTGTGATCCTCTTCTCTTCCATCTCTGGGCTAGCCCACTGGCTTTACCAACTAACCCTGATTATAGGTGCATAGAATTAAAGCTAGAAGGGACTTAGAAGTTGTCTAGCCCAACCTCTTCATTTTACAGATGAGGAAACTGAAGCCCAAAGAGTTTAAGTGACTCACCTCAGGTCACCCAGATAGTAAGCAATAGAGTCAAGATTTGAACCCAAGTTTTCTGACTCCAGAGCCAAAGATCTTTCCAATGTATCTTGCTTCACCGATTCTTACTGGGGATGTTAAGACCTAAGGAGCTGAACGTCCTCTTACTCCATCAGTGGCTCCCTCCCACCTAGCAGCCAGGTGGCACAATGTGCCAGACTTTCCAAATATTATCTCATTTGATAGCAGCAAGGGGCAGGGCTGGGGACTGATTCCAGCTTTGTCTGACTCCTGGATTTCCATTCTGCAGTGCTCCTGCTTGGACCTCCCCAGGATATCTCATCTCCTTAGGGCTCCAGTCAAACCACTGTTTCTAGGATTCAGAGGTTAGTTACCAATGCCTTAAAGTTGCTCTAAACAGATATGCAAAGGACTGATGCCAGTATTGTGCACTGAGTACTGCAGCTGCTTGGAAAACATTTGCTGATTGGGTGCATTTAGCACTTTCCCCAGGGGTCCCAGTGATAACATTAGACTGTGTTAGGACTCTCTTTGAGAAAGATGTCCCAATGGGCTCATGACTTAATTTCAATGGGAGCAACAGCTTTCTCTGCTGTGAAATCAAGTCCTGGTCCCCAACTGTGACGCCTGAAGACTCCCAAGCAGGGGTCCTCACCATTCTGTTCATTCAATTCAGGAATTCAAGAAGCATTTATGGAGTGTACACACTCCATATGGCCAAACACTGAGTTAGGCACTGGAGGTGCTGACAAAATGAAAAACACTCATGCCCTCAAGAGGCTTACATTCCATGAGGGGAAACAATATATAAAAAGATAAGTAAAAACAAAATGTATACATCTGAGTCAGGGCTAGATATAATAAAATAATATAGAAAAATGTTCCATAATGTATAGAGTTGGCTTTGGAATCAGGAAGGCATGTATTCAAATGCTGCTTCTGACACAAACTGGCTGTGTGACCCTGGGCAAGTCATTTATGTCTCACTGACTAAGATCATAGTTGAAGAAAAGGTTACAGTTCTGCATCTGGAGAGGAAGTCTTTGTAACTGGAAGATCTTTATAACAATGGAATGACACGCTTAGTTTAAAAAACAAAAAAGGATAAAAACCTCAGGGCAGAGAGCCCCATATTATGATGTCTGAGCTGCATACCTGATCCCACAGGAAAGAACTTTGGTCCTTCTCAGATATCCCCTTGCTCCCAGAGTCTTGAGGACTTCCAGATTTCTTTGGCAAAGCCTGTCATCTCTTTCCTTTCTGTCCCCCTGGATATCTCCTGATTCCCAATGGACAGCCAAAGAGCGGAGGCCTGATGCTGGCTGTTTCCACCCAGACTTTCTCCACTGGCAATGCAAGACATCCTAGATCACTGCTCTGACGTCCCCTACCCCCAGCCACCATTCTTTTCCTGTACCCAGCACCATATCCTAAGCAGCAACAGTAATGGCCATCCATCTCTGAGGTCATCCATGTGACTTACCTGTGGGGTCATGCCATGGCACAAGTACATAATGGGAACATTTTCCGTATCTGGTCCTTGATCCAGACATAAGTCACTCTTTAGGGAATTCTGCAGCTGGGACACAGAGAGAAGGGACATATAAGTGGGAGAAGAAAGGGGTAAAAAAATGAATGGATTAAGCCAAGAAAAACAGGCATTCCATGAAGATTACTTTCACTTGCCATAATAAAACCACGAGGTCCCAAATGCTACAGAAACCAGTGAGCCTGGGCATTTGGGAAACAGTTGCTGTTTGAAGGATAAAGTCAAGACTTGGTAAGCTGCAGACTGAAGCCGAGTGGCCAAGGCTGCACTACTCTGAAGAAAAGAAAAGAGCCTGACGTATGATTCATAGAGCCTGGGAGGGGATACTCTCCACTGCCTTTGTCCAGTTGAATGTGAAGCCATGGGGCTGTGGTAAAAGAACGAGCTGCCTTGGGCTCAGAACTGCTCATGAAAATGCTTTCAAGCTCCAGGTATAGATTTAGAGCTGGAAGGAGACCTTAGAAGCCATCTGGTCCAGCACTAAATGGGAAACAAGCCCAATGAAGTGAAGTGATTTGCTCAAGGTCACATAGGTAGTAAGTAGTGGAATCAAGACTTGAACCCAGGTCCCCTGACCACAAAATTTATGCTCTTTCCACTCCTCACCTCCTCTACAGTCACACCTACAGCCCTCACATTCTCTCTCTCTCTCTCCTCTCTCTCTCTCTCTCTCTTGCTGTCTCTCAAAATCAGACTTACCCAGGGTCACATAGCTAATAAGTGTCTGAGGCTGAATTTGAATTCAGGTCCTCCTGACTGCAGGGCTGGTACTTTATCCATTGTGCCATCTAGTTGCTCCCCCCATTTTTATCTCTTAAGGACCCCTAGACCTTGTCTCCTCTTTCATCACTGCATCCTTAGTACTTCCAGGAATTTCCATCTTTGTTGTTCAGTAGTTTTTCAGTTGTGTCTGACTTTTTGCGACTTCAGCTGGGATTTTTTTGGCAGAAATATTGAAGGGGTTTGCCATTTCCTTTTCCAGCTCATTTTATAGATGAGGAAACTGAGGCAAATAGGGTTAAGTGATTTGCCCAGGGTCACACAGCTAGTAAGTATCTGAAGCTGGATTTGAACTCAGGTCTTCCTGACTCCATGGCTGGCACTCTATTGTGCCACCCAACTGCCCCATAGCTTTTGTGTGTTATCTCCCCAATTTGATTACGAGCTCCTTGAAAGCAGGCCCTGTCTTGCTTTTTTTTTTCGCATCACCAGTGTTTAACATAGCACTTGGCACATAATAATTGCTCAATAAATTCTTCTTCATTTATTTTCATTCATTCATTCTTACATCTCCTTGGGGCATACAGCTGTTCCTGACATAGACTCCTAAGGTTTAGTTCTCTAGCAAAGTGCTTGGCAAATAGTAGGTGCTTAATAAATTCTCATCGATCGTTGACTGACTGATGCCCTTTTCACTTCTTGCATCCCTCCTGTCCTCCTCTCTCCTTCATCTTTTCACTCTCCCTCCTAAATTTCACTTTGGAGCCACTTGGACTGATCCATTGTTCATGACCTGGGTAAGCACTGAATCCCAGGGAGTAACGATTCCCCTGTCATCTAATATATATGGCACTGGCTTCGGAAAGCAGAGCAGGGGTGCATCTTGCCAGGACTTTCTGTTGAGCAAAGATAAATTATTCCTGGTAGGAGACACAAACTACACTGGTCTGTTCCTCTGACCACAGATGGGAAGGAAGGCAGGGGCAAATTCTCTTACCTTGGGCTTCTTTCCCTCTATAGAGCTACAGCAGCCCCACCTCCAATACACAGAGCAAAGAATATGGAGAACTAAAAATAGTAACTCTCTTGGGGTGGGAGGAGCATAATCATTGAAGAAAAATATCCTCTATCATTAAGTTATTACTTAAGCTGCTCCCCTAATCCTCATTGCGTTAATAGGCATGTGTAACAAACAATTCGTAATTGTAGAAACATGTAATTTGTCACTAACTGGGATTGCTGTCCACCACCCCCGCCCCATTAGATAATCTTTATAATAATAATAGCTCACATTGATGTAGTGCTTTATAGTCATAATTATGCTTGAAGCAACTCTGTGAGGTAGACATTGCATATATTACTCACCCCATTTAACAGGGGAGAAAGCTAAAGTCAAGAGACGTCCAGTGATTTCTCCAAGGTCACACAGCTATAAAGTGGAGACACTGGGGCTTGAACCCAGCTAGGTTCTAAGTCTGGTGCTCTATCTGTCATTCCTTTGCACTACTATCCTTGTGACAAGTTCACTAGTGTCTTCTGCCTTCTGCCCTTCACATAGATCTCCAACTTTGAGGAGTTCTGTAAGCTATAGACAAGGGTGAAATCCATGCTTGACCCTCATGAGATACAAGGAGATGGCATCAGATTACCAAAAAGAAGACTTAGGGAGAATATGTTAGCCATCCTCTACTTTTGAAGGGTGGTCATGGGGAAGAGGGGTTAGGTTTGTTCTTCTTGGCCCCAGAGGTCAGAAGTAAGACAAGAAGGTGTTACAGAGAGCTAGAATTAGGCTTCATGTAAGAGAAAAAAATTCCTTCCCAATAATTGGATTTATCCCAAAGTATGGAATGGGCCGCCTTAGGAGGAAGTGAATTCCCTATGGTTGGTGATCTTTAGGAACAGAGTGGATGAACATTGGTCAGGTCTGTCTAGGGGAGATTCTTCTTCTAGCTCTGTGAGGCTGTACAGAGGGCACTGTCACATAATGGGTCAAGTTTTAGATTTCGAGTCAAGCAAGACCTGCTTCCAAATTCTGTCTCTGAGACTCTCTCTCTGTATCTCTCTGTCTTTCTCTTTCAAGTGCACATACCCCAGGTTAATAACCCCACTTTAGAGTGATATAGGGGAAGTGACCAGTCCAATGTCATGCAGAATGTCAAGAGCAAGACTGTAATTCAAAGCCTAGGCTCAGCCTGCCCTCCCCAATCATCAGTGTGGATGCTGAGTCTTGGGCTCTGTCCCCATGAGGTCACCAGTACCGCTGCTCCTATGTCCCTAGCATTGCCTCAGCCCGGGGTCCAGGCCTGGGTACCTTCATGGATGAACACAAGTTTGCTTGCAAAGTATCATAATTAACCCGTGATGTAGGTGCTGATGCTAAAGCTGGGGGATTGTAGCTAATGGAAAAGGAAGTGGCAAGGCTGCTTGCTTTGTCCTATACCCATCTTGTTTATTATCATTGGTCTTGCTTTACCTGGAATGATCAGATTTAAAGCCTACTTATTCACAGATATTGTTTGCATTCCAGACTGCATGGCCAGACTGGCAGTGTTTGTGCTAGCCATGGGCTTTTTTTCATTTTTTAAAATAATTTTTAAATTCATTTTTAAAATTCATTTTAATTAATTTAATTAAGAAGCATAATGTTTATTTGTAGAAGGGAAACCTAGAGGAAAACAATCTGGGGATGTCAACTGGAGACATAGGTGACTTTGCCTTCAACTGTGGACTGAGCTATAGACAATTGGCCTACAAAGAGCACTGGCCTGGAAAGGGTGAACCCTTGTCTGCCTCTGACCTGCTGTGTCATCCTGGGTCAGCCAATCAATGATCAGTTATTCATGCTAAGCTCCCAGAGGGAAGGGATTATTTCATTCTCTTTGTACCCTCAATGCCCAGCACAGTAGCATAGTAGGAGCCTGTCAATCCATTTGTCAATGGATTGCCATACGTTGACTCCAGGTCCTTCGGGGTAGAAAGAAAAAAAGCAAGACAATCCCTGACCCCGAAGAGCATACGTTCTAACAGAGGAGAATCACTTCATGTCTCCAAGTCTTCATTCCTCCATAGTAAAATGATGACAATATTAAACTCCGTAGCTCAGGTCTGCTATTCTAGTTAAATGAGGTCACATAGACAAAGTGGTTAAGAATTATAAAGGGCCACAGAAGGGTGAGCTGGTCCTGTTGCAATACCAGAAGGACAGGTGCGTTAACTGAGTCAAAAAATTTACTTTGAAAGAAAACTTTTTATTGTATGAGCTCTGTTTTCATTACCTCATGGATTAAAAAAAAATTAGTGTGTCAGTGGACACAAATTAGCCCTCTGAGATATTCTTAAATTCTGGTCCTTCTAGTGTTAATAATAGTGAGAGCTGATGTTTACATTGGTCCTTTTCCTCACAACCTCAGAGGCAGTTGCTATAGGTATTAATTTACAGATTAAGCAAACTGAATCTTAGCAAGGTTAATGGCTTGCCTAGGGTCACATGGCCTATAAGTATCATATGTGGGATTTGAAACCAGGCCTTCCTGACTCCAACTTCAATACCTCTCCCCTAGAGGTAGGGAATAGACTTGTGATTTCTTCGGCATAGAGAACTTCCAGATGAAGACACTCCTTTTCCCACCGAGGATCATCACCTTCTCTGCAGCTTACAGGTTTAGAGAATTGCGGAGGACTGAGAAGTGAAGTGAAGTGTCTTGGCCCAACCTTCCTAACTCCAAGGCCAGCTCCTTATCCACTCCCTTATCCACTCCAGTCCCTCCTCCTTTCTTCTACACTGTGGTTATTCTTCTGAATCATATTCCCCTCCTTAACCCTTCACTTCTCTCCAAGTGGCTCTGCTGACTCATTTCCCCAGGATGTGCTTTACCATCATCTAGGACCCTCTTCACCCTGGAAGAGATTGGCCTCCTCACATTGGAAGTCTCCTCTATCCCTTCGACCTTTCCCTCTGATTGGCTGCTCCCCCCAGAACCTCCATTTGAAGGAGGGGATCTAGGCTATCCATATCTTCATTCCTCTTTCCTCTGCACTTGGCTGACTCACTGGCTTTTCTTTACCATGTTTCCTCAATGGGTACTTTTACACTTCCCTCCACTTTTCAGCTTCCTTTTATATGTTGTCTTCCCCCATTAGAATGTAAGCTCCTTGAGGGCAGGGACAGTCTTTCTTTTTGCTTGCATTGATATTCCCAGCACTTAGGCTTAGTGTTTGGCACATTGTAAGCACTTAGTAAATGCCTAAGCTTGCTAACCGATTCTACTTCTTAAAAGCTCATAGAACAACTGAGGATATGATAACTGTCTTCAAATATTTGAAGTATTATCATATGAAACATGGATTATATGTTTTCTGTCTGACCTAGAAGGAAGAGCCAGTAGCAAGGGGGTAGAAGTTGCAAAGGGGAAAATTTAGTTCATGAGGGAAAACTTTTTAACAACTAGACATTGTCAAAAAGAGAATGGTATGGCTTGGGAAAAAGTGGGTTCCCCCTCTTTGGACAATCTTCAAGCAGAGGCTGGGTGGCCACTAATTGGCTACATTATAGATAATGGGATGGATGATGGACTATTGCCAGCTGGGGCCAAGGTTCTCCCAAATGGAATCGTGCTTTCAAATACTCCAGTGCGGTTAAGACTCTAACCCTAGTACTGTAGGTACAAAAAGACAGTGCTAATATACTTGCGTGTGTATATACAAATATATTACACACTCTCTCTGTTTGTATATATATATGTATGTATATATAATCACTCCCTTGTACAAATATGCACACACATACATATACACACACATATACACATATGTGGGTATGTATGTATGTATGTATGTATGTATGTATGTATGTGGAAAGCTCTTTTGGGAAGCAGAAAGTAAATTATTAGGAATCAGAAGAATAGTCAACAAGTATTTATTAGGAATGTACTGTGTGCTAAGCACCGTGCAAAGCAATAGGGAGATAAAGCTGAAAAGAAGGTTCAATCTTCCCACTACCTGTATAACTTTAGTTGTACCTCAGTTTCCTCATCTGTAAAATAAGGAGAGTTTGGACCAGATGTCCTTCCAAAATCCTGTCCAAGTTTGCATCCATGATCCCATGAACCTCCTCTTTCTTTTGGAATATCCAAGGGTCTTGACCACTTTACAGAATTTTGATAGCACTTGCTTTTAAGGCAAAGGATTCTTTATAAAACACAAAGGTGATATGGTGCAGTTCTATTGTAGCCGCCTGGGATGGGAGTGGGGTGGAAAAGAGCCCTCCCCCCTTCTTTCTTTATCAAGGCCTAGGGAACTGGCAAAGGAAGTAGATATATGGGGGAAACAAAGTCTGGGATTTTCAAATGGGGGATAGTGAGACAGAGAAACTAAGAAGAAAACACTCCTGGGGTGGGTATGTCAGAGGAGCTTATTTTATGTCTTGTCTTTGCCACTTATGATCAGTATAATTTTGGGCAAGTCAATAAACTTCTGTGAGCTTTGTCTGTAAAATGAAGGGATGAGATTCAGATGGCCTCTGAGATAGAAATATAACCTTCAGTCTTATGATCAAACTAGGGGAGTGGGGATGGAGATGGTGGGACACTCACATGAACTATTATCTCTATAGGAACCCTTCTCTTCACCTAAGTGGGCCCTGAAGGTCTGAGAAAGCTGTAAAGTCCAACTCATCAGTGTTCCCATGTCCTCTTTTCTGTCTGAAATCTCATTTTCTAGAGGGGCCAGTGATGGAGGATATTAAATGCTTCACATAAGAACTCTGGGGGAGAATAATCTAAGGGCCAGTCTAGCTCCTTGAAATCTCAGATACATAAGGTTCAACAGAACTGCCATTTTGTAAGCAGCACGGAGACAAACTTGGGAAAGGTGGATCTCTGAGGCTTAAAGCCAAGCTGGGCATTCTGGGCTCCAACTTCACCCCTGGAGAGAGCAATTTGAAAAGCAGGGGCTGAGATATTCTTTCCAAGTTCCTCTCCTTCCTCTCTGTCCATGAGAATTCCTCGCTAATAGTAACAGATGATACTTATTTCTACAGCATTTTATTGGCTACACAGTACTTTGCCTCCATCATCTGATTTGAGCCTAGCAACAACGATACTTAGTACATTGTACAGGGTATTATTTCAATGTATTCCATTCAAGAGACATTTATTGAATGTTCACTGTGTGCAGACGTCTGTGGTAGGCACTGGAGGAGATACAAATTTAAGTGAGATGTCTCTATTATCACAGAAATTGTATTTCATATAATGTAATGTAATATAATATAATATAATATAATATATAATATAATATAACATAACATAGTATAATATTAGTATATAGTATAATGTAGCATAATGTAATATATTATGTATAATATAGAACATATTGAATATATATTATACTTCTTATACATAATTTCATATGTACATATATGATATATTTCCTATATGGGCCTATGATGCATACATAGATAACTAGACCACCGTATCCTACACCTTTGAGAATACCTAGCTTCCTTCAACCTCAGCTTAGGGGCCACCTACTACCTGAAGCATTTCCTCAATTGTTATTACTCTGTTCCTCTTGAAATTACTTCATTTAATTTTGTGCATAAATTTTATTTACTTGCCTGGGTACATTTTGTCCTTACCCCTTCTCCTCAGTAGAGTGTAAGCTCCCTGAGGGCAGGGTCATTCTCATTTTTGTCTTTGAGTTCCCATTGTTTAGAATAGTACATTGCACCTACTAGGCACTTAATTAAAATTGATAGACTATGGGATTGGAATCAGAAAGACCTGGGTTTAAATTCCTCAGCTCTCCCAGATACTTATCAGCTATGATCTTGGGTGAGTCACTAAATCTCTTTTGGCATCATGTCCATCATCTGTGAAATGAGGGGGTTGGACATGGCAGTTTTAAAGATCCTTTTCAGCTCTAAAGTTAAGATTCTATGATGCTATGACTTGAATAGAATTAGATCTTTCTAACCTCATTTTACAGATGAGGAAACTGAGGCTCAAAAGATTATCTACAGTCACACAGGTTGAGTAGTCCCAAAGATTAACCTAGACTAGAATTACACAAATGGTAAGTGTTTGAATTGGAATTCCAACCCAAGTCTTCTGACTCCTTATTAGAAGTCTTTCCACTCTTTCCACCACCCTCATTGCCTCTGTTTTTAAAGGAGCATCCAATTGTTTCCTTTTTAAAAAATATACCCAATTATTTCTTAAAGATTTTCAAGGGACAGCTAGGTAGTGCAGTGGATAGAGCACCGGTCCTGGAGTCAGGAGGACCTGAGTTCAAATCAGGCCTCAGACATGTAACACTTACTAGCTGTGTGACCTTGGGTAAGTCATTTAACCCCATTGCCTGGTCAAAAAAAAAAAGGAAAAAAAGATTTTTGAAAAGAAAAGAGTCCTTACCACCCCATATGCAATGATGTCTGAGTACATCCTCATTTCTGGGTATACACTGACAAGGTACCATCGGAACGTCTTACACTGCAGTTTTTTCCTCAGGGCTTTCCTTGTAGAAATGTCACCAATATCAATTCCAGGATCCTGTACATGGAGAAAGGCAGTCATGATTGAAGAGCAGCTTCTCCTGCTCACACATCAGATGCAAGCCCCTATCAGTGGTTTCCTGAGGAATAGTTGTGTTGGTCTGAGTTCTTGGCTGCCAAAGAAGGGCTTTAGACAATACCACTCAGCCTTGAGTAATTGTAATTTAAAGCCACTGACTTCATCTGGGGCCTCTGGACTGCAGCAATTACCTGTATGGTAGTTGAAAATGAAACCTACTTATGACCCGACAAGTAACAAACTAAATGTTATCACCCAAACCCTGAGATGTAGGAATTCCCAAAGCTTATTTGGAAAGTAGGGACATGGAAGTGGGGTCAACATGAATGTATGGGGTAAGAGTATTGTGCCCTTGTGTCTGTTTGTGTGTTTTGATGGAGTTGAGGAGTGTAATGAGTTATTGCTTGTGGCTTTCACGTACCTACTGGGCTGTCATAAAATATTACATACATATATTATATTATATATTATTTTTGTTTCTATGTGTGCGTACACATGGTAATCCTGGGTGAGGAAATCAACCCTACCAATGCAAGTTGACACTTTCTGTGCAATTTATAATCTTTAGGAACTGCCAGGAACATGGAAAAGCTAATTAACTTATCCAATGTCACCCAGCCAGCAGGTGTGAGAGGAACAACTTGAATTCATGACTTCCTGGTTTTGAGGCCAACTCTCTATCCACAATGTAACACTGCCAAACAAACACACAAGTGCATATATGCATGTGTGTATATTATACATGTATACACACATATGTGTATGTATGTATATATAAATGTATAATATACACTTGCAATGTCATTGTATGACATCAGATAAGTGTTTATGTGTATATACTCATACATGTATACATGTGTTCCGAAAATCTTAGTGCAGTTTTAAACCTGCACCAGGACTTTGGGGTCATGTATATTCATAATGTTATTATTATTGTTTTTAAGAGACAATAGGGCTAAAATGACAGAATGAGTAAAGACTATACAAGTGAAGTCCATGAGTTGTAGTGCATAGACTTGATGGAATCTGGCCATCACTGAAGAAAACTGGGCTCCAGTCTAGCTTTCCATATTTATTTCATATTTATATTGTCATGCACTCTACATTCTAGACAAATGGGCCTGCTTGCTGCTTTCTGTTCATAGCATTTCATCTCCCCCCACCCCCATCCCTATGAAATGAAGTCCTTCACCACTTCCAGCCCTTGGAATCTCTAGCTTCCTTCAAGGTACAGTTTAAGTGGCCCCACCTCCGTAAGATCTTTTCTGATTCTACCACCACCACCATCAGCACCATGGCCTCTGTGTTAGTGTTCCCCCATCCTGATACTAGTTTACATTTATTTGCATGCACTAATCACCACATGTTGTATTCCCCATCCTTTTCAGTCAAGTATAAGCTCCTTGAGGAGAGGAACTGTTTGATTTTTGTCTTTGTATGTTCTACAATTCGCCGTTTTTCTCCCCTCTCGACCTCAGATTCCAGTGTTAGAGAGAACTCCCTGCACCTGGGAATATTAGCTACTGTTCTGTACCTCATTTTTAGGGAAATGCAGAAGCACTTTGTTTTGCAGCTTTCTCATGGATCTATAAAATCACAACTCTCTCTGCCTTATCACCTTAATAGCCTAGAAACTCCAGGAAGACATGGACCATACCTTATCTAAATGCGCTCTCCACGTAGCACTTCCTTATTAAATGTTTTTTGAGTGAATAAATGAATGAATGAGAAGTGGTAGGATAGAGTAGTTAAACTAACGGGCTTGACTTGAAATAAGGAAGTTATTGTTGTTCAGTCGCGTCTGACTCTTTGTTACCCCATTTGGGTTTTTCTTGGCAAAGATACTGGAGTGCTTTGCCATTTCCTTCTCCGGCTCATTTTACAGATGAGAAAACTGAGGTAAACAGGGTAAAGTGACTTTCCCAGGTCTTCCTGACTTCAGACCCAGCACTCCATACCCTGTACCACCTTACCTAGCTTCCTGAAGCAAGGCAGACCTGGATTCAAACCCAATCTCTGATACTATGTGACACTGGGCAAGTCACTTCATCTTTTGGAGCATCATTTTCCTCACCCATAAAATGACAGGACTGGATTATGTGGCCCTTGAGGTCCCTTCCAACTCTAAATCAATGAATATGAATGAATGAATGAATGAATGAATGATTGAATGCATCCCAGAAGGAGAGCCATTTTGGTATGGTAGAAAAGAGACTAAAGGAGGAATACGGCAAGCTTGGTTCTAGTCTCCATTTGCTACTAACTAGTTTTGTGACCTAAAGAAGGACTTCATAGGAGCCTAGATTTGGTATGGGAAAGATCTTTAGAGGTCAGGCCCCAACCTTTCCTTTTTTTTTCAGATAAGGAAACCAAGGCCCAGCAAAGTTAAGTGATTTGTCAAAAGTACCGAAGCATACCTGGGATTTGAACCAAAGCCCAATGATTGCAAATCCAGAACTAACTGGCTTTCACTCCCTGGATCTCACTCTGTCCTTTGTAAAAAGAGGGGATTGGTCTCTATTCGTCTTTTGAGCTCTGACATTCTCTAAATTGTGTGACTCAATCCTTTTCATGGGGCCTAGGGAGTTAGATCACTTTCCTAACAGACCCCAAGGATTTTCCAAATCCTTTAGTAATGAGGCTTTTGTGATCATTAGACTGACTTTGTTGAAGTCATTAGGCTGGTACAAAAGGTTTCTTTTGCAGGCTGAGGAAACATCCTAGGGGATGGATTCTGAACTAAAGCTCTATGATTGGACAGCCATCACTAATTTCAAGCCTTGAGTATGGTGCTGTTTTTCTAAAAAGATTTCCCCTGTCAAGGTTTCACTCTGGCAGCTGATTCATCAGTGTGTTTTGTCCAGAGTCCTGAGCAGGATTTGCCTCATTTTCTCTGGGTAATGGATACAGCTCTTCTTCTAACTGGTGAAGTCTCATCCGATTGGTTAGCACAGAGCTCAAGAATTGCTTCCGGCTAAAATAACTGCTACCTTCCCTATCATCTTTGTCTATATCTTGGTTCATGTGACAGCAGTTTGGGGGAATTTATGAAACAGGAGTTTCCTACAGAAAGCAAAGATCCATAGTCCTGCAGCCAAAATGCAAGACTCTCAAGGAAAGCCATGGCCCAAATTAGGAAGAGCAGGGGTTAGTTTCTAAGTCACACACAGACCTTAGATAGAATAATGGGCACAGCTATATTGGACAAGCTGGAGATGAGGCTGGAACCAAAGAGCCTTCCTATTTCCAAATCAGGAATCCTTATACTAGGCACCCACTAAGAATATAAGGACACACACAAAATAATGCATTAGCAATATTATTCTTTCCCTAGTTTTTCCTAGAATCTAGTGGATTGAAACCACATTGCAGAGTGCATAGTATAGGGCCTGGAGTCAAGAAGATGTGTTAAAATCCTGCCTCTGAGACTTTTTATAGAACTTACCTCATAGGTTTTTAAATTTTTATAAAAGAACAAATCTATTTTTTCTCCCTCTTTCCTCTGATACTTATTGGCTGTATGTCCCTCATAAGTCAAATAACTTTTCTGAGCCTTAGACCTTAGGATTTATCTACTAAGTCATAGATGGGGAATGTTCTGTGTTGGTGGACAGAATTCCCACATGTGAAATTTCCTACCCTGAGAAGATCAGAGATCATTTGTATATTTGTGTTTGTGGAGAAGAGAATAGAGGGTAGTGAATGAGTGGATGAATGGATCCCAACAGGGAAGGCATTGTGATATGGTAGATAGGACCAGCTTTTATAAGGTTCAGCACCCTCTAGGAAAATGACTGAACTTATCCACAATCTGCATAATGGGTCCTGATGGAAGAATCTCTTGCCCAGGCAAAGAAGCACATTCTTTTTACCTAATAGGGTCTGTTGTAGACACTGCGGTACCAGTATCTGGCAGTGGTGGGTTTTGGAGAGAGCTTTGGACCCAGGTTGTGAGTCTATATCCAAAGGTTTAGGGAGCAAAGATGTGTGAATTCACTGGCAACTGGGAAATTAGGAATTGTCTGAATTTTGGTGGTCCTTCTGTTCTCATAGCTCACGGAGATTCTTGATTTAGTGCTATTTAATGCATAGTCATAGAACACCATAGCTGGGAGGGACCTTCCCCACTTAATCCATTACCTTCCATTCTCAAACAAGGAAACTGAAACCAAGAGAGAAAGCCACCAGCTCTGGTTGAACAGGATAGCATGGGCTTTCCTCTCTTGCTCCTTCCTTTAAACTTTCAAGATCTTTTCTAGGTGGCTGCCAAGGCTGCAAGCTAAGCTCTATAAACCACTGTGTTTTTCTCTCCTAGAACCCTGAGCATCCTAGAACCCATTGACCTACCTCTAGGGGTATATTCCACGCCATATAAACATGGCTCTTAAATTCATCCATCCAGACTTCCGCCACCCTGAGAGCATTTCTGCGGACGTGGGCTGTGAGGTCCTCAGTGTAGGGCTTGTGAGCTCGTTCAATGTGGGCTATTCTGGAGCAGGGCAGGACCTCCACACTCCCACCACACTGCCACACCTGCAGGGGAGATGACCAGTGCAACTCAGTTGAATTTAGCAGACATTGATGGACAGTTTCTTGTGCACAGAGCTCTGGGAGAGATACCAAGTTCAAACCCAGTCCTTGCTCTCATGGAGTTCATAGTCCCATAGGAGGGGCTGAAGGAAGTCCAGACCAAGTGTTGTGAGAAAGACTTTTAAAGAGAGAGAGAACATACCCAGCTGGAGGGATCAGAATCAGGGAAGAGCTGGCTGGGACTTTAGAGGGAAGCTAAGGCTACTGATAAGGAGAGGGAGACCCAGAGAGGGGAAGCAACTTGCCCAGGATCACACAGCAAGTCAGTGGCAGAGCCTGAACAAGAAGGAAGCTCTCCTCACTGTAAAGCCATTTTCACTCCTTCCCACTATATAATATCACCTTGTACCAACAAGCAAATCATAGAGCCATAAGATCATGGGCTTATGGATTCATAGAGGGGTTGTTCAGGCCATCTATTCAACCTCCTCACTTTACAGATGCAGAAACTGAGGACCAGAGATGTGAAGTGATGTGTCAAAAGTCATAGGGTCATATGGAGAGAGGAGAAAGGGACCTCAGAGACCACCAAGTCCAACCCACTCATTTTACAGATGAGAAAACTGAGGCCAAGGGAGTTCACACAGGTAATTCAAATCCAAAACCTCAAACTCTGAACCTATTGGTTTTTCCACTCTAGTATGCCAATTAGATTTCTTCCTCTTCCTTCTGAGTGGCCCAGGCTGGCATCAAGAAGATAGTGATGTCTCTCACTAGATGTGCAAAACATTTTGCGTGTTAGCACTTTCTATTTTACAATTAGTCACCCTCCCAGCCCTCTAGGAAGGCAGGTCACTTCATCTCTCCAGCTCATTATCCCCATAACCAACTGAGAAATGTTTCATTTTTGTTTCCACCGATGTCAAGCAAGAAATATCCTGGTGAGAGCTAGCAAGATTCCTGATACTAGAGGCAGAAACTATTGGTCCCTGATTCCCTGCATGCTCAGTGGCTTATTGTACAGCTAGGACCACTTGGCAGGGGTGATGGGGTTTCATACTCCTACAGGGACCTTAGACATCATCTTGCCCAACCTGTCATGCCACTGAGAAGAACATAGAAGGCTTATCATGGGGAGGAACTCCCCCAAGTCCCCTTAGTAAGTCTCAGGGAAAGGGGCAGGACTAGCCCCCAGTTCTGTCAACACCCTCTCTGGTGCCTTTACTTACTCAGATATCTTGAGAGTGATGGCAGGGCAAGTCATTTCTTTTTTCTGAGTCTCAGTTTCCCCATTTACAAAATGGCAATAAATATACTTATATTACCTTTCTCATGAAATTGTAAGATAAATTCTTTGCAAACCTTGGAGGAGAAATGGGAGCAGTTATTATCACCCTCATTTTGTAGATGAGGAATTTGGGGCCCACAGAAATCAGATGACTTGCCCAAGGTTAATGGATCAGTCAGATAGCAGTTAACAAACATTTACCGAGGGCAAGGACTGTCTTTCACCTCACTCTGAATCCCCAGTCTTTAGCACAGTATCTGGCACATAGTAGGGTCTTAATAAATGTTTATTGATTGATTAAAATGACCTACTATGTGCTAGACACTGTGAGGATACAAAGGCAAACAATAGTCCCTGCCCTCAAGGAGCTTCCAGTCTAAAAGGGGAGCCAACACACAAATCAAGCAAATAAACATACTTCCCTCTACTATATTGTAGCTGCTATGCTAGGCACTGAGAATACAAATACAATGGAGGACAATCCCTATTTACGAAGATGCATCTGAAAGAAGTTAAATGACTTGTCTTCCACTGGATTGCAAGCTCAGGGCAGGGATTTTATTTTTCATTTTTTTTTTCTTATGAATTATTTATTTATCTTTAATATCCCTAAGGCTTAGCACAGTGCCTGGAACACAGTAGGTGCTTAATAAATGCTTGTTGACTTCACTTGACTTGCCCAAGGTCACTTAGCTAATAAGTGAGAAAGCTGAGACTTCAGTCGAGATATTCTCAGAAGCTAGGGATCTTTCTTTCACTCCATACTGGTACCTTCTCTTGTGCTGGGATTCTCGCCACCATTCACTAGCATCTATGCATTCTGCATGGTGGAGGGGATGGCCTAATGGTCTTGGAGTCAGGAAGAGTTGGGCTCTTCTCGATAGGTGAGACAACAAACACACATATAAGCACATACATAATAATGTACATACATAATAAACGTAAAGTGGAGTTAGGGACTGATTCTGTGATTTCATTGAAATTCCTAGAGTAGGAAGCTCCTTTTACCAATACAGTTTAGCATTTTCTTTCCAATTTAGAATCTTAGAGCATTGTCCAGATCACTTAGAGATTGTAACTAACCAGTTACAGTCGTGAGTTCAGCTAGTAGTCACTGGCTGTGAGGAGATGGGACTTGAACCCAGACCTTCCTGGTTTTCAGGACAGCTGCATTTGATATTTACACCACCATGCATAAATCCAAATTAACAGGTCATATCGGTAATGAGGCAGCTAGGTGGCACAGTGGATAGAGCCTAGATCTGGAGTCATGAAGATCGGAGTTCAACTCTGGCCTCAGATACTTACTAGCTGTGTGACCCTGGGCAAGTCACTTGACCACTATTAGCTTCAATTTTCTCATCTGTAAAATGGGGATAATAATAATAATACCTACTTTCCAAGATTGTTATATTACATGAGATAATAATTATAAAGCATTTAGCACAGTGCCTGGCACATAATAAATACTATATGAACATTAGCTATCGTTATTATTTGTAGTAGTAGTAGCAGTAACAGTAGCAGCAGCAGTAGCAGCAGTAGTAGTAGTAGTAGCAGCAGCAGCAGCAGCAGCAGTAGCAGTAGGAGGAGGAGGAGGAGTACTAGGAGTAGCAGTGGTGGTGGTGGTGGTGGTGGTAGCTGTTAGAAGTTTAACCCCAAATTTTATGACTCCAAAGTTAGTCATCATTCCCTACAAGGGAGGGGGATCAACTTCCATCATAAGTCCTTTTAAATGAACTCTTTGGCAGAATTCATCTTAACTTGGCAGGCTGTTATAGTAAAACATAAAGTCTCTTAGCACAGAGACTGTCACAATTTTGGAACCAAGAAAGACCTAGATTCAAACCTTGCCTCTTACATCTATGGGATGTATGACCTCGGACAAGTTGCTTAACCTCTCAGCGCTCTAGCCGGCTCTCTAAGCCAGGAAGGTGCAGAAAAATTGCTGATCTGCATTGGCAGGAGGAATTTCCTTACTGGGAGCACCCATAAAATCACAGGTCCACTCCTATTTCTATCACCTCTTCCCAGCATCAAAGACAATGCTTGGGTTAGAGTAAGAGCTTAGTTAGTGCTTGTTGATGGATTAGTTTATATGGCACCCTTCTCCCAGGCAGAGTTAAATGATCCCCAATAGTGTCAATGCTTGGTAAGCACTACCATGTCCAGGGTTGGCCTTAGGGATTAATTTACATTACCTATAAGCAACTTGGACAGTTTTTATTTTCCTCTCACTTTCTCCCACTAATGAAACAGCACCTGCAGGCTCTTAAGACAATATTGTTAATACTAATATGCAAGGGAATTATTTTTTTATTGCAGTAGGAATGGGGAATATTACATAAGACATTTCAACATTGCAAAATTGAACACAATGTATAACATAGATATTTCTCTGAAAAGACATACCTCTAAAATATCCGTATTTAAATTCAATTAAATTTGAGAAACATTTATTAACCTTTCTGTAAGATACTATGCTAAGCACTGGAGATCCAAAGATGAAAGGATTTTTGGCCTCAAGGAGCTTACATTCAACTGGGGGTGGGGGTGGGAAATGGAATCTGAAAGGAGGGAAGTTGAGGTAACTCACACTAACCCTAGAATCCTTAGAGTTACTTTCCCACAAAATTTCACCTCCAATATCATCAATTTAGAACTAGAAGGAATCTTAGAGGCTATCTATTCCATTTTATAGAGAAAAATGAGGCCCAGGGAGGTGAATTGATTCACCCAAGGAGCATAAGTAGTAATCAACAGTTAGTTAACAAACATTTATTAAGTGCTCACAATGGGTCAGGCACTGTGCTAAACATATACAAACTGGATGTAAAAAAAAAAAGCAGAAAGATAGGCATTCTCCTCAAAGGTGGGGTAGTGAGAAGCTAGGGGCAAACAAAATAATGGAGTTCAATGGCAAATCTTGGCTGGGTTCTAGTCTGAAGAAGTATATAATCTGAACCTGACCTTAGATGTCACCAGGAAATACTTAGATACCTCCCTATGAAGGAGTGTATGTATAAAACCACTGTATCTTCAAAATCTCAGAGTTGGAAGAGTCTTAGAAATCATAGAGTCCAACCTCCCAATTACCCAGTGAAAAGCCCCTTCTCCAGCCCCTGAGAGACAGTCATTCAGTCTTTGCTTGGATATTTCTAGTGAGAGGAGACTCACTACCTCCTGATACAGCCAGCTCCATTTTTGTCCATATTTTGTGCAGCCCTAATTGTTAGGAAGCCCTTCCTTATATGAAACTGACATCCACTTCCTTGTAATCCCCACCCATTGATCCTAATTCTGCTCTCCAGGGACAAGCAGAAAAAGTTTAATCCCTCTCCTACTTGCTTGACAACCCTTTAGATACTTAAAGACAGTATTATGCTCACCTAAGTCTTCTCTCCTCCAGGCTAAACATCTCTAGTTCCTGTAAGTGTTCCTTGTATGGCACAGTTGTCAGATCCCTTCCCTGACTTATGTAGCCTCTCCCAGACACAGAACTGAAAATGGTGCTCTAGATGAGGTCTGTACAGGGAAGAGCCCAGTGAGACTGGACCTTCCCTGGCTCTGGACACTAAAGCAGGTGAAGAGACCCATCTGCCCTTGCCCTGAAGTTCATGAGAATATGGAAAGGAGAGGTTTTGGCAAAGTTGACATCTGCCCATGATCATTTGAATGTGTGTGTGTGTGTGCATGTGTGTGTGTGTGTGTGTGT